AAAGTCTAATTAAAAGCTATAAATGATACAATTTTCATGTAATTTGATGCAGCCAATAAAAATTTATCACATGTTTTATAATTCTGGTTTTTTTCTTAACACACTGTATGTAACAAGTAATTGAAAAATAGTAAAATTTGATAGATAAAATATTGTGACATGAGTAAATGCAACAGAATTTGCAATAATAGTTTGATTTTCATAATAATATTAACAGTTTACTTAATTAAAAACAAATTTTAATAAAGAATAACAATTAAAAAAAATGTCAAGAATGCATTTAAATTATAATACTATCGTAAAGATAATAATGTGATCAAAATATGTAAAAAATCAATTATATTACTATAATCAATTCAATGAATTATATAATAAAAGAAATGTGTTAACAATATTCTATAATAAAAATTCAATGGTTTTAACTTAATTGGTTTTAATCATTATTGTTATATAATTAGTAAGTAAAATTTATAAAAGAGAAAGAAAGAATTAATAAACATAGTTTTTTTGATTAACATCAAATTTATTTTACTTTTATCAAAACATTATTAATGTTTACCGATTATTATATATACTTGTATATTGCTTTTTTAGTGACAGACTTGTTAATTACTATTACATATGCATTTATAAATAATGCATTTAAAAAAATTTACCTGTATGTAAAATTGATACAAAAATAAAAATATTATACTATTATTATATGCAATTTAAGGAATAAACATGATTCAAATATAATTTTGCAATCATTTATTCTGTACATTTAATCATAAGTCAATTACAATTTAATAAAAACGTGAAACTATTATTTATTACTTTCTGTTTCTTATTATAATTGCTCTACAACTTTATTAATAATGGAATGAAAAATTTTATATACATGTAAAATAAAAGAAAACTATTCTTGTTATAATCGCTTCTTTTATTTTTTCCATTGTAATAATTATTCTTTAAATTACAAGAATAGTAGAAAATAAAAAAACAAATAGATTTAATTAAAGATATACAGTATATTTATGAATAGTTAATATGATGTAGGTATATTTTATAAAATATTTACATAGTACAGTATTGATTGACACTATGAAATTTACTTGGTGATAATAGAATCTTGACAAATTAATTAATCTAAAAACATGTAAGTACATTTCTGTTTTTAGGAAATTAAAACAAGTCTCATACAGTAATAAGATAATCTAATGAAGAAATTTATAAAATAGAGAATCTGTAAATTTGAAATCAATTTTCGATCAAATTTGGTATAATAGAATGTTCGCAGTAAAGTTTTGATGTTTCAAAAAAATAATTTGCAAGATACTGTAACAATCAGAAACTAGTATACACTATACAGTATAATTATTATTATTTAAAATAGAAATTTCTTGTAAACTAGTGATCCGATCGATTCTCACGTTTTTATAATAATGATAATAATTGGTTATGACTTTTTATTCAAAATATGTCTTACTTTACTTAAATTTATTACAAACATTATTTGTAACCACCTTATTTACCTATTTAAGAATAACAATGGCAAAGGATGTATTTTATTTATGTTATAATGTCATTAGGTTTTGTTTTCTAAAAGAGATTTATTTTATTCTTGTTTCTATCGTGTCAGCGATCAACCAAATATTCGAAACCATCCAGACAAAACCAATAAGCCAATTCCAGATCCAAAATAATCCACTAACCTCATTTTCTTGCTTAGTACTAAGTAAAAAATACCCCAAATCCCATGAAATACAATAAATAATACGAAAGGCTATGAATCTAGAAAAAGGTATTGACAAAATATTCATCAAATAGGAGCTGTTGGTATTCACACATTTCTTAATAGTTGAAACATTTTTTTCTAGACTATAATCATATAAGGCCGGGAGAAATTTTGAAACTATGCCAATTGTCAACCAAATTTTTGCGAAAATCCAGCCAATATCAATTAGCCAGATCCAAGTCCTCAACAACCATCCATCCTTAATGGTATCACTCTTTCCACTAATGTTTTTGTATCTGGAATGGAAAGAAAAATATCCAAAATACCACAATGCTAAATAACAAACACGAAAGACCACAAAGGGCACCAATAAAAAGTTTCTCAAAAAGTAATTATTTTCCGTCCACCATCTTTTAATATATGTGTCATTCTTTGCAATAAAGAATTTGCCATAATTATATAATCCCGGAAATTTGCGCATAACCAAAAGGAAATTCGAAAGTGCCCAACTAACATCAATTGTCCGATTCCAGGTCCAAATCAGCCAGTCACCTTTAGTATTATCAAATCTTTTGTACTTATAATAGAATAAAAGGTACCCTACATACAAAAGAATAATATAGCCAATATATAAAACCACAAATGCCACAAATATATCTGCATTCCTTTTTATATCATCATACAACCGCGGAAGAAATTTTGCAATTGTATTAGCGATAAGTAAAACGGTTGCAATGATTCGAACGATATTGATTATCCAGATCCAGATCGAAAGCAACCAGCCAATTTCGTAACCAGAATGGAGTATAGAGTGCCCAGTGTACCATAGCACGAGATAACAAATGTGGATAATAAAAAATCTAGAAAAAACCAACATGAAAACTTTCAGGTAGTTAAAATTTGCATTCCACCACCTTTCGATACTCGGACCGTTGCTTTTTATGAAGGTATTCATAGATTCGAGAATTCCATAAATAATTTCCAGAGTGTTATGTTCCAAAAAAAATTTTGTGATAAACTTTTCTCTTAGGACATGGAATTTTAAAAGATGTTTCTTGAATCTTTGAAAATTTTCAAAAATAAGCATGTAAGAATTTTGAAGAAGTAACATGAAATATCCAAAAATGCGTTTCAATGAAGAGAACGAACTAAAAGTTGAAATATTATGAATCGAAAATATCTCGTAATCCTCTATATGCATGGGATTATTGATTTTTCTTTGGATATTATCAAGTAAAGTGTACTCAACATTACAATAATTTAGGGTAGGTTTTGTTTGATCGCGAGAATCAGCAAATTTCAAGGTCAGATCCAACCCGAACTTAAAACCTTCGTTGGTGATAGATACGATAGGACCGGTTTTATAATTCTTTGATTTACTGAGTTTCCCAGTCTCTATCGAATTATCGTGGTCGTTGTCGAATGCAAAAATAAAGCTTCTTTGCATATGAGCACTATGCTTGTTAGAAGTTGACCATGAAAAAGGATTATACCCTCCAACTATTGAATCTAATCCTTCGAGTTTGAAGAGTGCAATAGTTGGACCTTTGTTTTGGCATGCTCTCTGGAAATCGGATTTACCGAAGCCATCTCGACTTCCACGAATAAGGAGGTTGTAATTATGTTGTATTTTGCTAGTGTGGTATTTAGTCTGTTGCGAAATGAAGCCTGTACCTTGAACCCTGATCCATTGTGATATGAGATTCGTGTGCTTAGTAGATACCAATTTTGATTGTAGCTTTCTTATACGTTTAGGTGAGTTGAGAAATATCGGGTTTTCACTTGGATTCACGTAATACTTTGCTAACTTTGTATATAATTTTCCTATTAACATTTGTAAATAAAACTGTTAATTCATGATTTCCATATTAAAACATTAGATAAATATAAATATTTCCACCTGGAAGAATTTTAGCATATGGAATAACATTCGTAGTGAATTCATCTCCAGAAATATAAGGCCATCGAATCACACGAACCAACTTTTCCATCATCGACCTGAGATCATTACATTGCTTTTGTGACCAATGTTCGGGATCTTTTGGGAGATTTGAAAACTGTGCGACACACCATCTAACTATATGCTTCCAGACTTCTATTTCGTCCACACTGAGATTATCATTGGACATCAACAGAATTACCTCATTTATCGGTATTCGGGAGAAATTTTTTGATTGAAACTTCAACTCAATATTGTTTTCAAATACACCTTCATAGTAATCATTGAGTATTTTTAATGATGGATGAATAAAACTTTGTTCATAAATCCTTTCTATATGGTCATATAACCATTCAGCTCGATCATTTACAAGGATGTTTAGAAGATATATTACTAATTCAGTAAGCTCCAGTTCATTTGCAGCAAGAATAAGTTCAAATGTTAGATCCGGATCGCTTAACGATTTGTTTGCGTCGAATATATCTAAAGCCCCAGTGTAAAGGAATCTAAATGCGTAAAAAGTGAAATGATTATTTAAAGAATGCTATTTCTAATATACAGGTAAAATTTTAAATTACCTTAACAATGGCCAAAATACATTTGGTGAAATCTTTGGCTTATGAAACTCTATCATATTTCCACGACTTTGGGATGTGGCTTCAATTATGCTTCGGAAATAAGGCGATCTTGCCGCAAGTACAATTGAATGAGCATTGAATATTCTCCGGTCATGATATTCCCCGACGTATATTTTTACATCATAACCGTACCCAAATTCTAGATATTTTTCAAAGTCTTCTGACAAACTTTTAGAAAGACAGCTCCTCATTCTTTGATATTGTGGCGGAGCGACAAGTTATGTCTTATGTACAGACTCGATTGTGACAAGAATTTGCAGGTTCAAACTGGATTTAATATTAAATAGGGATGCTATCGCAAATAACTACGTGGAGTTTTAAATTATAAGCGTAAATATAGAAAATGTTTAGAATGTAAATTATGTTATCGCAAAATACTAATCGATTTGGACTATAACCAGAGAATTTAAATAATAAAAATCAAATCGGTTATTTTTTTTTTATAAAAAGGGTTCGTTTTCTGTTATTAAATGTGATGTTGCTTTTGCTTTACTACCTTTTTGCGTAAATTTTAAGCAGTAATGAGCGATTCCACATATAGCGTTATTGAAAGCTCAATTATTACTACTGTAGAATCCTTTGGACCAAACCTGATTTGATTTCCGATTTACTAAGGGTAGAAGAGTCTGCATTTTTCGTGAATTTTTCTGGTTTAATTTACATGCTAGCCATGAATACAAAATTTCACCTTTTCTTATTATCTCATTCATTCATTTAAAAAGATTAAACTTCTAGAAAATATTGATAAAAATTTTCGCATTTTTGAATATCTTTTATTGTAAAAATTTAAATTTGCCTGCCAAACTTTATTATATTTTATTATTAATCTAATACGTATTTGTTTTATAATTTATATTCTATTTTTATGTGTACGTTGCATATACAGCATATGCGTTTTATATTTTTAATATAAATTCATTTATTAATAATGTTTATCTAAACTTATTTATAATATTGATTTATATAAATATATATAGTTTCCCCCCAATAAATAAAGGACCACTTAAAAATTATTATAATTAAATAGTAATAATTGTCATATATTAAATAAGCTTGTTCCTCATAATTAATTTTATATATGGTTAAATTTTTATTAAATTCAAAAAAACTTTTGTTACTACATTTAACGATTTTTTTCTGAACTAAAATTTTTTAATTTTTTTGTCAAAATTTTGACACCTACATGATTTTTATAACTACTGTTTTAATAAGTAATTTGATATTAATAAATTTTGTTCAGCATATGTTAAAGTATTTATATATTAAGTTTTATAAATTTTTACCTAATATTTAAAGTTTTATTTAATAAAATGTA